CATTTCCTTTGCTACACATTTTCTAGGTATTCCGTGACTGGACCATCACAGCAGTTGTATTTATTACAATTGACAATGTAATGTTTTTTAACATCCAAAATAATGACTAACTTTAAAGTTATTGACTTTACAGGGACAACAATCAGCCTCCATTTTGTATGCTCGCTCTCTCTCTCTCTCTCTCTCTTTCTTTCTCTCTCACACACACGGGGTGGGGAGAAGGGTCAAAGTTCTCTTTGCATGTATCATTCTTTCCCTTCTGTTAGAATTCCTATTTTGTGTGATTTTATCAAAAAGATTGTGGGTTTAACCATGTAATTATGTGTACATCTGCTCAGAAGTGAAATAAGTCACACTGAGTTCAATGAGACCTAAATCCCAGGTAAGTATGTATAGGATTGCACCCTACATGCATTTTTAAACACTTATGTATGAAAAAAATTATGAAAGATGCATCTAAGAAAAATAGTGTGTGATGTATTTATTTATTTTACTTGAATGCTGTTGCATTAGCCGTAAAGTTCTCTGGGTGGTGACATTCCACTCACTGAGGCACACTCTGCATTTGCAGTCTTGTTCAGAACTTCTCTGTCTCTATTTGGAATGTATTGCTTTAGAGCAGGGATGGGCAACTTGTAGCCCTGCAGATGTTTTGGTTTGTGACATGTGTGCCCTAGCTAGTATAGCCAATGATGACAGATCACGGAAGTTCTGGAGGGCTATAGGTTGTCCACCCTTCCTTTAAAGCCATGTTTTAAAGGTTGTTTTTGCACATGATGCAAACAGCAACAGCTAAATTATATAATGACTGTATAAGTGTCACTAGGTCTGTGTTGGGACTACACACCCTTAGCATTTGGTTAATTTTCTCAGTTCTAAAGCAAGGGTAGTATTAAAAGAAGATACCTGGTATTGTGTTGTGTGGGTGTCATATGAGGAGATAGCCATGCTTTGTGATTTGATTGCTTGCTAATAGACAGTGATTGTCAACAGCCAATGTAGCTGGTTGTGACTATTTGCTAGCAGTTAAGACACACTCCATGTGTCTGGGTGGAGGCTTGGGAGAAACCTCCTTGCTATCAGAGATTAAACGTAACCAACAAAGGAAGCAGAAGACCTTGCAGCTGGCTGAGAGGAGGAGCCAGGGATAGCATTTCAAGTACTGTTTTACTTTTGCGAGAACTGATGGCAGTTCAAAAACTAGTGCTGTCTGGGTGCTTTCCTGCTCAACAGGAATCCTTGTTTCACGTTTATTTTTAAAGGTTGTTTCACGTTTATTTTTAAAGGCTGTTAGCCATTACTGTGTAACAAAGTGGAGAAAAAGCTGGGATAAAAAGCCTAGCTGTTCGCACAGGTATCTGTTTATTAACATGCATCATAAACGTCTTCACTTTGAAGCTACACAACTGTACCAGAGTGGCAGCAGTGGTTGTGTCACTCACCTATCAGCAATATGTGATAGTGAAACCACTAAATTTCAGTTTCAGCTTCAGTCTAGCCAGCCCATTCCCATGTTTCAGCTAGGGGTTCAGCTAACACAACCTTCTGAAACATTTTCCCCTCTTGTGGCTTGCAGTTTGGCTGTACCCCTTCCTTCCTTCCAGCTGGCTAATTGTTAACAGCCTATTAACAGAGCATGACCTCTGGTTTGCTGTTCTCTACTTTCTTGGAACAAGACATGTTACCAGTATATGTGATCTGGAAGCAAAGCGGAAATTGATAAAGGATAAGATTTCAATTATATGGTATTATGTATGTGCTGTCTGTTTCCCTGCCAGAAAACAATGCATGTTGCTCACACAGATGACATCCTCTGAAGACTGTAATTTGCTTCAAAATGGAACAATGTGTAGTTAACCCAGAAAACTGAGGACCAGAAAAGTAATTTGCAGACATAGAAAGAGAACTTAGAGTCAAAACTAGAGTCTTATGATTCCCAAACGCTCTTACTTTGTTTCTCTGAAGCACTTAGTAAGTTCCTGTAAGGATGTATGTATGTGTTTGCGTGTGGAGCAATAGTCTGAATTTTGTTTTGCCTTCTACTGCCTCGATAATTTTGAGACTTTACAAATAAAGCAACAGCACAATCCTATATGAAAAAGCAGTCTGTTATGGTTTATTTCAGTTAAGGTGGGCAGCAGTGTGCTGGATGGGTTTTGAATAGTCAGACCACAATTGTCATTTGTCATGTCCAAAGTTGGGAACCATGGATTATGCCAGCATTGTTTAATCCATGGTCCCTGTGTTTGGATGATATGAAAAGCCCTGATGGGGGCTTGAATATTCAGAATCACTAGGGCAATCATGTGAACTGGCCAATGGGCTTACTGCTGAGAAACTGAATAGAGGTTTGCAGTATAGACTATAGAATGGAGACAAAGCGGAGAAAAAAAATTACCCAAACATCTAGACTCTAGAGGAAGTAGAATTTCAGTATATAATCTTTGGTTTCTTCCTTTGTAAGTAGAATGTATGCACTGATCCTCTCAAAAGCAAGACTTCCAGCTAGGAGGAAAAGGATGTTAGATGCTCACAAAATAACATGTTTGCAGAAAGAAATTAGGTTTAGAAAATGAACACTTGAAATAATAAAGGCATTCTTCTGCCTTCTCTGGAGCAGTGCTCCAGAAACAGCTGCATCTGAGGGGGTGAAACAGCTTCCTAATATATGCATAGTTTGTAAAACAATTTGGAAACCAATGCAGCTGTGGAATAGATTTATTTAGATAGCCTTTTGATAAGTTAGGACTAAGCATCTGGATTACATATGGTTGAGTTAATCAGTTCAAAAGCACATTTGGCACTAGTTTAATGGTCAACTGCTTCCTTTGCTCCACATTTCAATATACTTTTGGTTCCCCCCCAACTGCAACCCTGAATTGGATGGACATGGAATTTCTAAATTATGTTAAATAACCTGTGCTTGGCTTCCCTAGGTGAGAGATATTTTAAAAGTGCCATAGACAGTTGGAATAGTTAATTTGACAGGTATAAGAAACCTTGGGTATTATATATAATAGTATTACTGTTAGCATTACTATTAACATAATGAAAAGCAGGCTCCTGTTTATTTTTAAAGTCACTGAAGACATCAAAGAAATGATGGAGCAAATACAAATATAATGGTCATAGGCTGGGCTCTTCTAGTGCTTATATCTTAGAGCAATGAACATCCATACACACAGTGCCAGGCTCAAAAGAAGAAACTTTATACAATCTTCTCAAAGAGAATAGTTCCTGTAGCAGTTTTAATGTGTTGCTGTCAGAGAAAAATGAAAGGGTAGCAGAGAATCAGCCATTACCCACCATAATTGTCATACAAATTAGATTTTTCCCTTGTCTGTCCAATCAAGAAGGTTGGATCTCAGCAGCAAAATTTTGGGGAAGTTCAGATTTAAGATTTAACTTGTTCTTGGTATCTCTCGGCATTGGTGGTAAATGTCAGTGGACAACCTCAAGTATGTCATGAAACCTCAGAACAAACCTTCCTTTAACATCCTTTAATGTTCTTCCTCAGATAAGATTCTCTGGTCACTATGATGGTTAAATACTGCAAACTGGACCATGTGGTCAGTGAGGTCAAGAGACCATGAACTAATTAAGTGAAGTAACAACTTGTTTGCTTTGTGTGCTGTACCATGATTAGTATTTGGGTGCTCCCATACAAACTGCCAAACTATACTGAGCTCTTAATTGCTCCTTCAATAGCCTAGCACCAGAGAATGTTCAGATGTAATCAGTAACTATGCCAAGACACTTCCATACTGATTGCTCTTAATGTTACCAATGTTATCAATGTCAGATGATAATGAACAGGTGTTTCATCTTACCCTCCTTTATAGTGGGTTGTGGGTTAAATCAAATCAAATGGAAGAAACTGTAGGAAAACAGCACAGCTACATGTGGAAGACAAACTACTTTTTCTGTGGATTAGACTGTGTAATTGTACAGTGAAAGCATATTCTGGAAGCACTCATAGGGCAAGTGTAATTCAATGCATAGTTTCAGAGTTAATGGCCAGAAAGTGATCAGGTACCACCTGTCTACCTATACGTCTGATGTTTCAGCTTCTTGGCTGGTGTGATGTGAGATGCTTAGAGAGCAATGGTAACTCAAGCAAAGTTAAGGCATACAGGATGCATTCACATGTCATGTCAACACACACCTGCAAATAAGCCAAGGTGTGTTCTAAGAATAACCCATAGTGTGCCCAACACAAAATCAGGCTTACCACAGGTGAAGGCCCCTGCCTTCCCCATCAGTCATCTGCAGGTATCTCAAAGAATGATAGTGACTTGTCTCCCCTTCCCTGCCACATCTGTGACCTGTTCTTGACAGGACTTCTCATGTGTTTTTCACAGGGAGATATACAGACATGAATGCATATGTTCCTGTGAAAAAAAATATGAGCTCTGTCCAAAGCAAATCCTTTTAGAAAGGAACTGAAAGTTTGACAGCGAGCTATCAAAATTCCACTTTTCCATGTTCTTGTGTACCTAGAATCTCAGGAAGACATCGAAAAGTGGGAGCACACTTGGCACAAAAACAAATCAAATCTAATCTAAAGAATTCTGCCACTAAGGGGGGTGTAAATCATACCTACCCCTTTTCACAAGTACAGATGACTCTTGGCTTGACAGCTTGTCTTTTGATGGTTGTCAACCCAAACCAAAGGGTAAGGAAAAGGTTATTCAGAACCCCTCTGAGTCAAGGGCCAAAGCTGATACTTGCTGTGGTTTGACAGACACATGCACAGAAGTCGTAAGGAAAACTGATCCAAAGGAACAGCTTCCAGGAGAACTGGGGACAGTTCTTCCAGGAGGGGACTGACAAGGTTTGGTTTCAAGTACAATCAAGAAAGTTTTGTTTGTTTAGATCCTGAAAAGTGTAAGCCAAGAATGTAAAGACTTCCTTGGTATTTTTGAACAAGAATTCAATTCATTCCCATGGGGCTTCTTGCCTCTGGGTTTAACTTATATATAGCATCATGTTACTAAAAATATACAATTAGAAGATTGTTTATTTTTTTAACAATGAAAAAGGAATAGATAATCAGTTTTCTCAGGAACAATGAACATTTTATGTGTTACATTCTCAACAGTTGAAACCATATAGCTCATCAAATCGAAATTAGTTAACCACATCCTTTCCCTTCTGCTTACTCAGCCATGCATATTCAGTGCTTCCGAAGTAACTGTGCAGTTCAGCAGCTAGTGGAATGGTTTCTAAAATTGTATATTAGCACTTTCCGCTCTTACCTCGATACAAAATATATGCAACTTAGTTTGAAACTACAAAGGATTTGCAAATACTGAGGTCCTGAAGAAAGTTAATTGTGCTTAAGTTGTATCTATCCATTTGGCTTAAATTAAGGCCAATCTACCATGTTGCATACAATTGTAACTGCATTCCTTATAAGCATATGCTTGATGCCATATAGAGGAAATGCTACATAGCTGTATGGTGATTTTAGGCAGGGTGAAGATTAACTGCTCCCCCCTAGTGTGACTTCTCTGCTTCCAACCATGCCTTCCCGAAGAGCTTTTCTTCAAAAAAGGCCACTGGGCTACGGTTATCAATATTACATATAATGCATAGTTTGAAATAATCTTACATCCAAGTGGTTTCAACAAGACTGAGGTCACAATATTCAAGGCATATACACAGGTTCAAAACTTCACTTAAATTCATCAAATCTTGCAAAACTTAAGAATTCTGGATGGTAATGTGAAAAACAGTCTCCAGTTTAGCACAACTAAAATTCAGCTCTTCCAGATTCCTAGGAAATTCAGTACTGATCACCATTTCTGACTGGAATATGAGGAAATAATCAAATCTCTACAGCCCTCACCAGTGTAAAAGTCCATGAGTAATTGGTAATCTCTTTAATCCAGGAGACACAAGTAGCTGTGATGTCTTGAGATTCAAATTGGCATCAAAGGTCAAGCCTTGTAACCTTAGGGGTGTTTCTGTACTAAGTGGCTCAATATGATCTCTCCTAGTATTGAGAATCATGTTCCTTCTTTCTAGGATCTATTTGGCTAAAGTCTGTTAAATCTGATAGTATATTGTATAATATAATATACTGGAGGGTCTTCTCCAATGTGAAATTCTGAATTTTGTCTGTTTGCCAAAGGAGAAACAGAAGAAAAATCTATTACCCACATGAATTAGTTGGTGGATTTTGCCTGCATTTGTACATCTTCCTGTATTTTCTTCAGGGTATCAGCCATCAAATTGCAAGCCTTCTTGTGTTTCTGCCAGTGCTTTACCTGACACTCCCTGCAAAGTCAAGAATAGATTAAAAGGAATAACAACAGTTTAGACCCCTTTCTCAAAAAGATTCAAACTGACAGAACAAAACTAAAACAGGCAAACAATAAATCAGAGCATATACAACAACTCCCCAAAGCCCATTAACCATCACAATTAATATAACCAACTGCAGTAAAACAGCCCTTAATATCCCTTCAAATGCTTGAGAATAGATGGAAGTCTTGAAGTAATGCTGCAAAAATGGCAGTGCTGGTGCCAAGCAGAATTTGCAGGAAACAACATAGAACTATATGGGGTGGGGGTGGGGGTGGGGTGGGGTGGGGTGGGGTGGGGGGGGGCAACAAAAGGTCTTCTTCCTTCTTACCATTCTCTGAAGCTTTTAAAAAAGAAAGGACATATGATGTCACTTGTAATGTACAGGTAGGTTAATACTGGGAGAGGCACTCAATGAAGTATTACAGCCATGAGGCATATATAATATGCACATAATGAGCATTGCATTCAGAATAGATTATAGTTGTACCAGTGGATAAATTACGTGAGTGGAGCCTTCCTGACAATTTAATAGCCAGCCAGGATCTTGGAGTTGTTATAGATCACAAGCTAAACATGAGCCGACAATGTGATGTAGCTGCAGAAAGTGTACGAATAAATACTATTTTACATTAATAGAAGTATCACTTCCAAGTCACATGGAGTACTAGTTCCTTATATGCAGTGCTAGTCAAACCTCACCTAGAGTACTCTGTCCAGTACTGGGCACCAAAGTTTTAAAAATTTGCAGAAAAGCTGGAAAGGGTTCAGAGGAGGGCAAGAAGGAAGATCCAGGGACTGGAAACAAAACCCTATGAGGAAAAATTGAGAGAACTGAGCATGTTTGAGAAGAGAAGACCGAAGGGTGATATGATAGCACTCTACAAGTACCTGAAAGGCTGTCAGAAAGAGGAAAGACAAGATCTCTTCTCAATCGTCCCAGAGTGTGGGACACAGAATAATGGACTTAAGTTATAGAAAACCAGATTTTGGCTAGATACCAGAAAAAAATTCCTCACTGTCACAGCAGTATGACAATGGAACCTATTACCTAGGGAGGCTGTGGGCTTTCCTGTGCTGGAGGCATTCAAGATGCAACAGGACAGACATCTGAGTGGGATGGCCTAACTTCATGTCCTGCACTAGCACGCCGTTGGACCCAGTGGCCTTCTTGGCCCCTTCCAACTCTACTATTCTATGATTTTATGAGGTTTTACTTCTTGCTTTCCATGTCCCCTTGGAGCATCTTTGTAGATTTTTTAAAAAATGTAATTAATGAACTTTATGCAATTTTAAGTATTGTTTTATTTTATAGGCAACCTAGCTTGAGTTTAGAAAAAGTATTGTAAATTATTGATTTGAAACATTTATATTTCTAGCAGTGTTGCTTATATTGTGTAGTTGTCAAATATATTTTCTAATTCTGCTTTGGATGGATAGAGGAAAACTGGAATGGGTCATGTGGCAGTTATATTGATCATAATCTCACTATTGTCAGTTTCAGCATAAATGTCAAGGAGTGAACTGGCCTAGGAATATTTTCATTCCCACTCAGTTGACTCATTTGGGAGTGGGGCACCAGGTTTTTTTAAAGACACATATGTATAAGCAAAAAATCTGTTATCTGTCACCTATACCTCTGCAATATGTATTTCTTCCTTCTTTCTTTGGAAGAAAATCACATAAGTATCAAGCATTATTAAGATTCCTTTTATGAAAAATTATTCTCCTTTTCTGGGTTTTGGACACCACTTCCTGAAAGAAGTGAATTCTAGCGGGAGACTCATGAGGATTTTGCAACCTCTGATTTTGTTTCCTACACTAAAACCTTGACTGGAAATGTATCAGAGAAGTGCTAACAATGAATTTTATTACTGAAATGTGACACACAGAATGCCCCATCTATTGATCCAGCTAAATAACGAAGAGGCAGATAGCAATATATAATTCTGCACAACTCCTCCTTAGAATTGGCATATAGGAAAATCATAGTAGTACACAGGTATAATCATCCCTGTAAGACACTGCTAGTGCAAACTCCTTGCAATATACCTTGTCTATTAATGGATTTACCATTTAAACATTGTAACTGAGGGTGGGGAACAAAAGGGTGAATGGATCTGAATCCTGTATCATATCAAATGCTCGCCATCATTCGCTGGAACTAGCTGGGGTCTTATCAAGTTTGACAATCTGCATGAGTGAAGCAGTTCTGTCAGTGGAACAATTAGGAAGAGCAACCCATTTTGAGAGAGAGTAAAATTTTTAAAATCCTTATAATTTAAGGGAAACCCATAAAACTTTAAAATACAAAACAGCAGCAGAAAATAGAACTACAATTTATTTAATTTAAAAAGTAAATTAAAATGGACATATCAAATGCCTTCCCAAAAAGGAAGGTCTTTACTAGCTTCTGGAAAACCATTAGTAAGGAAGTAGGATGACCTTCCTTAGAAGAGAGCTTCAACCCCATTTGCAGCCACTGAACAGAAAATTTGTTTATCTTCATGAACTACTAAGCTGGATACCACATGCTCCAGCTGACATAGCAATGTCAGAAATTTGTACAAAGGAAATTTGAGCTCAAGAGAACACGACACATCTCCAATTAGGTGTCCTTACCGTCTGCAATACCATTCATTCCGACAACGGGAGCAGCGTTTTGTTGCCTCACAGCCACACATTCCACACTTAGGTTTGTTTGGGATCAGGGCTTCCATTACATCCAGGTTGTATGTCTTGGCCCATCTGATTTATGACAGAAAGCAGTTTTCAGAAAAAAACCCACAACACAGACAATTTCAGGTGTTACTCACTGTTTGCAAACTACTACAGGTTGGAAATTATGAATCTCAGGGTACAATCCCATATGTCTTTAAGCAAATAGACTCCTATAACTACAAGCATTCTCCAGCCAACATGGCTGGCTGAGAAATGCTGGGAGTTGTAAGACATTTTTCTATCTAAATGTATATATGATTATGCCTCAGACTGATATCACATCTAGCTGAATGCTAAGTGAAATGTAAGGGAATTAAGTACAATATAAGAACAAAAGCATTTACATTATTCCCAATCTTGAGTTAAATCTGTATTGAAGCTTATATTACTGTAGGCTGTTTATACAAAGATTGCACATCATTGAAAAGCCTCTTTCCAAAGAGTTGAAAGAGTTATAAACTGACATTCAGAAACACCAGCAAACAGGAGTTAAATTGCAAATCTTGAAGATGTTGAATTATTATTTTTTATTTCTATTCTGCCCAATAGCTGAAGCTCAGCAGTTTACAACAGTACATAAAACAATATAATAAAATACAATGAAATATAACAGATATGAAAAGAAACATAAAAAATTAAAACAGTTAAAATATACAATGAATAACAACCCTATAAAAGGAAAAAAAAACCTGAGACTAGTAATCTCCTCAAGCATATCTTTAAAAGCCTCAGCATCAAGGGTTGTTTTAACATGGCTGTAAAAAGATGACAAGGTTGATACCAACCAAGTTGCAGTGGGAAGGTCATTCCATAGATGAGGGAGCCACCAAAGAGAAAATCATTCTTGTTGCCTCCCTCCAAGCCTCCCATGCTAGACAGTTGGAAGAGGCACTCTGGCAAGTACTGTGATCCCAAGAAAGGCTTTATAGGTTAAACTGGCACCTTGAATTGGGCCCAGAAACATACAGGCAGCCAATGCAGGTGGACCAGGCTTGGTTCTATGTATTTGGACCTATAGGTCCTAGTTATTAATGTAGTTGCTGCAGTCTGCACAAGATGCAGCTTCTGAACAGTCCTCAAGGGCAGACTTTTGTAGAGCATTTTGCAGCAGTCTAATTTAGAGATTACCAGAACATAGATTAATGAAACCAGGCTAGGAGCATAGCTGGGCCACTAGCTGAAGCTGACTGAAGGCACTCTGAGCCACTGGGGCCACCTGAACCTCAAATGACAAATATGGATAAATGAGAGCCCCCAAGCTACAAGCCTGAACCTTCAGGGGGAGAGTGTAGCCCCACCCAGAATAGGTTGCACACCCTCCATCTGGTCAGAGGAACTATCCACCAAGAGCATCTTATTCTTGATTGAGCTTCAGTTTGTTAGCCTTCATCCAGTCCGTTGTCACAGCCAGCAACTGGTTTAGCACATCCACAGCCACAACGTGCTGATGGCGAAAAGGGGAAATACAGCTGTGTGTCATCAGCATACTGATGGCAATGCACTCCAAAACTTCAGATGACTCCACGCAGTGGTTTCATAAAGATATTAAATAGCATGGGAGACAAAATAGAGCCCTAAGGAACTGCATGCTGGAGAATTCAACAGGGTTGAATAATATTGCTTAAGCATCACCTTCTGCGGATGACCCTTCAAGCAGGAGTGGAACCAGCATGATGCAGCACTCCTGCTCCCAAACTCAGAGTCACCCCAGAAGTATACCATGGTCAATGGTACCAAAAGCCATCAAGCAGTTCAGACATTATCAACATGGTTACACTGACTCTGTCTCTCTCCAGGGATAGGCTGTCATACAGTACAACCAAGGCTGTTTCTTCGCCAAAATCAGGCTTGAGTTCAAACTGAAATGGATCCAGATAATCAGTCTCATCCAAGAGTAGCTGGAGTTGGATGTTTAGCAGTGAATTAAGCAAATTTAGGAAGGTCTTGATAGATGATGCTTACATTTCCTAATTCTAAAGGTGCTCCTTCACCTTATGGTCAGCTGCACTGGATTCCATGCTGAAGATAACAATGCAACAATACACCTTGGGCCTAAAAAATAGTTTGCAGGTAAGCAGGGTATCTGCGCATGTACATGTCCAAGGTGGCAAGAGTGGGTTAAAAAGAGTGAGGTATCATGTGAAATAGACTTCTGACAGGGAGTCAGCTCCCTTTGTCAGAGAAGTGTCATGAAATGTTACTGACCACTGATACTCAGGAGACATTTATGGCTATTCTTTTTGCATTTATCAGGTTAAGTTCCTTTTCAGAAGGCTTGTGTTTGGGACCTGTGCCAATTTTAAATACTGACAGACTTCAAACAGAAATCTGCATCTACAGGCTGTTTTTTGCATGAAATTATTCTGGTATGAAGGTAAATTTCACACATGTGAAGAGGTCCAAGATTTTCTAACTTGAATATAGGAAGTCTAATTTCAATGTTGATTTCTAAGCTTAGTTTAATGATGAAAACTGATTTTTAATTTTTTTTGTGTATGAGCTTTCTGGCAGAGTTTGCACATCAAGTGCGCTATAATAAAGACTGTCCAAAAGAGAAGATTTGACACAGTAGGAAACCAAGCATGATGACATCTTACCTGCAAGCCTGGCTTTTCAGTTCCTCCTCTGAAGGGCTAAACATATTGTTTACCTGGTGCTTGGCAATTGCTTGCCATTTTCCAGAGTTCTCTCTGACAACTTGGTCCCAGATTACAGGAACCTACCAGCAAAAAGAATGGAAGGTACATTTATATCAAGAGATCCTAAAGTAATAATTAACCTTGCCATTCAGTAGAGCACATGTATGTCTGGAATCTATATTTTTCAAAGAGAAAAGGTTGCATGTGTATGTTTAATCAATAAAAGGAAAAGGCTACGGATATTTCTGAATGAGGAGGCATTTGACGGAAAGGGAGGTTACTTACCTGTAACCATAGTTCAAGTGGTTATCTGTGCCTGTGCAGAGCCTTGTTTTGGGAAGCTTCTATGGATGGAAATTCTTTTTGTCAGGAACCTTCCCCCACTGAGGTAGTACAAATGTTCTTAGTTGGTTCCTACACTCTCCCTCAATTCATTCTGAGATTGCCTGTTGTGGCCTTGGAAACCAACATATACAGGCATACAATCTGTGTACATCTCTGTCCAAAAGCCATCCTCCATCTGGACAGGCCCATAGCTAAGAATAATAAGTAAGTAATGGACCCTGTTCAAATTTCTTCAATGACCAGAGCTGAGAATTCACTGAATTAAAATTCTAAAGCCATCTCTGTGCTCAGCCTACACAGCTTCTGTTGTAAGGGAAGAGAGTGTTCCACAGGTGGTGGAGCACTGACAGGATACACCATTACTGTTTTTTTTAGATGCTTGTGAGTAGATCTATGGATGAACAGGTAAGATCAACTGTCCCAGTCTACCATCTTTTTCAGTTATGATATCTTATTGAACAAACTTACCCTATCCTACTGAATTCAATTCTTTTTTGGACCCTTCTTAACTTTTTGGAATTAGCAAGAGTGAGAAGAGGTACTGGTGACGTAGTCAAAGACTCATTACATGAACAACCAATGACTAGCTGTATTTCTCAGGCAACTTTATTCTTAAGTTCAGAAATGCACTGCATTCTTATATAGTTATTTTCTTATCCTGTATACTGAAAATGAATTCATCCTCCATGTGTTGATCCTTATACATGAGGAAAGTATCAATAGTCTTGGAAAAACTGATGAAATTTTTTTAAAAGAACAAGATGGAAAACCACTGAAAAACACCTGGATGAGGACCAAGTATGCTTGATGGCTACAGAGTGCTGTCTGTTGGGGGAGGGAAAAAAAAGAAAAGAAAACTAGAGAAAAAGAACAGAATGGAGGAAGGCTGGCCAGCTGGCACACTGAACAGAATCAATCCATAAAGCAAGACTTTACTGTAGGTCCCACTAAAACTATCTATCTATCTATCTATCTATCTATCTATCTATCTATCTATCTATATTCTGCCTTTTTCCTACAAAGGGCTCAAGACATCTCCTCCTCCATCTTATCCCCACAACAACAACCCTGTGAGGTAGGTTGGGCTGAGAGTCTGTGACTGGCCCAAAGTCACTCAGTTGGCTCCATGGCTGAGCAGGTACCAGAACCCAGATCGTCTGAGTCCCAGTCCCATGTTCTTAACCACTACACCACACTGGCTCTATGTATTTACAATACAGTTTGTAGTGTTCAGGTCTGCAGAGAACACAATACCTGAATACTGCAGAATGCTGAAACAGGTCTCAAATGCAGTAAAGATAAATGATTAAAAATCTAGCCCAGAATATGGATTTGAGAAGTCTCAAAATATCTGTCAGATAGCTAAAATTTTACTTAAACAAGAAGTTCCACTAATTTGTTGATTCTCTGAAAAGGAACACCCACACATGGACTTTAAAATATGTGAGAATATTCTGGCAAAGGACCATTCAATGAAGTTCAGACTTTAAAGGAAAAGCTTCTGTTTCCAAAGCACTAATGCCCCTACTGAATAAAAATAGCAATGCATAGACTGAGTAAAGGATTCTCTGTGGAAAGCAAGAAATGGAAAAAGGCCTTTTCATAATTGCTTGGCATGAAGATAGTGGGTGAGTTCATGGCTTGCTTGGAAGCTTGCCTTGCAGGGTGTGTATAGTATAGCTACAGCTCACCCCACCCCCCATGTCTTACAGAATGCTGACTCTGACTGGACCAAAGTAACCTAAGAAAAGAATGACAAGACAAAAACTGTCTAACAGTTCAGAATTTTGACACAAACACACTAGATTCAGCATCTTTCTGCATACTTTAACTTTATTGAATCCAGAAGTACTATGCTTCTGGTTCCTTTAGGAATACAGCTTTATCCAATTCCTCGAGGTTTTCTTAGAAGAAGTTCTAACTTGGGACTGGGACTCAGACGATCTGGGTTCTAGTCCCCGCTCGGCCATGGAGCCAACTGGGTGACTTTGGGCCAGTCACAGACTCTCAGCCCAACCTACCTCACAGGGTTGTTGTTGTGGGGATAAGATGGAGGAGGAGATGTAAGCTGCCTTGAGCCCTTTGTAGGAAAAAGGCAGAATATAAATCGATAAATAAATAAATAAATAAATAAATAAATAAAACTGTAGGGATTTCTAAATACACTTTCTTCTTTTGCTCCTGACTGGATATGGGTCTTTTGTGCGCTACAAATCTCATCTCAATCATATTATCACTGCATAAGATAGAACAATCTAAATGGTTCAGCTTTCCCTGAACTTCCTCTTCAGTTTAAAAGTTTCAAGTCAACTTTATTATGCCAGGGGCAAAGTGGAACTATACTGACTCAGTTAACTATCCCCAACCTGCAACCCTCCAGATGTTTTGGAATATAAATCCCAGCATTCCTGACCATTGACTGTGTTAGCTAAGACTAATGGGGGTGTGCACCAGGCTGGGAAAGGCTGCAATATAGTCTATTAAGACAGCCATTGTTCTGAATGTCCACAGCTTGTTGTTTTATAACTCATCCAGATTCTACTTTTATAGGAATCTCATCAAAGAATACAGTAATACCTATTGGTTTTCTGACCAGCCTTGCTTGAAGGAAAGATTATCATACTGTAATAACAGTGGCCATATGAATTATTGGATGGAATGTCAGATTTGAAACTTCACTTTCACTCTGATTGATTTATTGCTACTTGAGGTAAAAATTCTGCAAGTGGGTAAAAGAGACTATAAGAGACACAGAGAAGCTGTAAATATTATTTTATATTACAGATAGGAGATGGAGCAGTTGTGCTATCTAAAATCCAAATCTACTGTGTTGAGATGGATCAACTTTTTGTTGTTTTGCTTTTACTAGCCCAACTGCAGTATTTTAAAATTAAAAAGCAAGAGTGCATACTCGGCACTGTATTCTTATGTTCTACCAACTTCCATCCATGAGAACACCCCCTGTAGTATGAAGATTTAGTGTTTCTGCATCAATGAGAAACAAGTAAAAATGCTCAGTTTTAGAATGGGGCAAGTTCGCAAAGCTTACATAAATGGAGCTCTGCCAGCTCATCCTAATCGAGAAACAATTCTGCTTGTTTCTGGATTTGTGCTGAGAAGTGCTAAATCTGAGTTGCACATACTGTTGGTCCCAGTCATGCAATGGAATCAAAAGGACCTATTGCTTGCACAGTAGAATAGGCAGGGTGCAAGAGAATTAATGTGGGCTTAAGATCCTTGTTGGATTCTGCCCTATGCAATAACAAAACAAAGTGAAATTAAGGAGCAGGAGCAAGAGTATGAAAGTTGATAAGAAAAAGGTGGTGCTGGATATACCTGCTCTAGTATGAGGTCTTTCTTGGGTGGTTCAGGATCTGTCACAGCAAGGTGGCTTAGGAATCTCTGCATCTCCAAAAGATTGGGGAATTGATCAATGACAACTTCTGTCAGGAAAGCACGGAGCTAAACCCAGAGATTATGGCAAGATAAAACATTCAATGTTTAGAAATTATTAAAAGGAAAATATACAAGTCTTTTCTTTTTCTTAGATCCAGGTGCTGATTAGTTGAAACAATGAATCTGGCATTAGTGAATTTCCACTTTTCAATAAAACCTGAAAGCAACAATACAAGGTGGTAAAAGCTCACCACATACTGAATACGCAGGGGAACAGAGGGTCTTGAGATCCAGTGAATCCAAGGCTACTGCCACCCTCAGTATGCCTCATTTGGGGTCCTACAGTCGGCAGAAACACTGCTAGTAGTACTTTTACATCTGCAGACCACTCTGCGAGGATAACTAGGCCTTTGGAGTAGAGGTGCCCCATATCAGTGGAAAGACCCATCAAACCCATCCTCACTCCATTCAGCCAGTGGATCTGAGGTTAAGGGTTGCTCTCTTATTATATTTTAATCTGCTTTCAGTTGCATGTTGCCAAAACTATTTATTTATGAAGTAGCAAATATATCTTTCCCTCTTCCCATACATATCACATGTGTAGGGAACATTATACTATTGTCACTGACACTATTTATTTATTTCACTTGCATACCACGAGATTTCCAGAATTTTTTGGGCAGCAGACAGGTATATAAAACTCATAAAATAAACTGTACATTAGAAAGCAGCGTGTAATAAAAAAAATGCAGGCTTCCTAATAGCCTTTTCATAGTGAAGTGTGTCTGAAGCCTACAACAATGCCATTTTGGCAACAGGCTAAGATTGCTGCCTTTTTTTTTTTTCGTGTCATTGATTCCTAAGGTTTTTAACATTATCTTAAATATTAATTGAAGATTTTCCAAGCTTATTTAAATATTTGTAAAGATTGTTGCAAGCACTATTAGCTTTTGTTGTTTATAGCAGTTGGTTGGTTTGTAGCTTTTTTGAGGCAGCCTTTACACTTTCTGTGCAAAATTATTTGTATGTTTGGCATTTTACTCCTTAAGCTGGTTTTAGAATGTTTAGAATGGAATTTGAATCTATTTGTATTATTGTTATATTTTTAATCTTACTTTACATGTAATTGTCCTAAATAATTAATTTTATGAAGCAAGTAACAAATACAAATAAATTTTTTAATTAAGAGTATTTACCTATTAACAACTATTAACATTTAGATAGTGAAGAAATATAAAATGTAAGAAACTAAAGTGATTATACATTTCTAGAATGAGTGTCTGACATATCTTTGGTGTTTTTTCTTATATTGTCCTTTCAATATAAGCAAAGAATAATACCCTTAACAGATAAAATATCCTCTACTGATTAATCAGTTAAATGTTTAGTTAATCTACCAGTTACAAAAAGGCTTGCTGCCCTACATTAGTTGCAGTTGTAGTGGGTTATTTGATGGAGTAATTCCTGATCCTGGTTCCGTTACAGTGTTTAAAGATAGAATAGGATACTTAAATATGCCAGATTAATCATGATGAGAAACACAGAGATGTAATCTGGACCCTTTGCAGTCCTGTACCTTCAGGAGCTGGCTTTTGTTGAAGTTATTGAAGTTGTACTTGCGCTGGCATTCTGAACTAAGTAGTATGTTATACAGAGCAATCCACACTTGCCCATCCAGTTTAGTAATCTTCACATGGTCTTCATAGGGTACCTCATACCAGGCACCATCTTCAAACTTTTTCAGCTTCCCTGGGAAAAAAGAGCTGACTATAATACATGTTTTACAACAAGAAACTTTTAGTCAATGCAATCCCATGCGACTGCTCTTGAAATTCCAACGTCAGAGGATTCTGGGATCCTTTCTAACTCAGAGGATTACAGCAGCCTATCACAGATGGATAGGCACTTCCATGTTTCTCCTATCCAGCAAAACCTGGATCCTAATTTTGGCCATCTAAGTCTTTTGTGCCTTGCTCCTGAGAAGAACAGTCTGAGGTATCACTGCAATACATTGTACCCTGGCAGAATCTCACTCCTTCCCCTCTGCTCCTTGGAATGCCTCTCCAACACCAGCTCTGAAGTTGGTTTTCAACTTCAGAGATGCAGCTGACACAGTTCTTTCTGTGCCAGCAGCAAAGGCAGAGGGACAGCACTCCAAATCCAGAGTCCTATCTCCAACTTTGATGCACATTCGTGAGGTAAGAGTTGGGAGTTCCAAATTTTCCTATAACTATCTAGGCCCTGAGTAGCTGCCATAGGATTTCACACTTAAATAGAGAACAAACAGGTAAAGCATCCATGACAAGGATGAAATGTTTTTCATGCAAATGTGACTGCATCAACCTTTTTATTCAAACATCATTTTAATTGCTAGTATTATTTGCTTATTTTATTCTTTGGCCAGGGCGACTTATTTTATATTGTTAATTCGTTTTATATTTTTAGTGTATTATATTTTAACTGATGTTTTGTGAGCCGCCCCGAGGCTTCGGCGAATGGGGCAGCATAGAAATTTTCTAAATAAATAAATAGATAGATAGATAGATAGATAGATAGATAGATAGAATGTAAAGTATCTATTTCAGGTTATCAGTACTGTATAATTTTCAGCTACTTATGCTCAGTTGTTTCCTATCCCTTTATGGAGCTTCAGAGTCTTAATGATCACAGGAATGTTTTGCTGGTTGTGTAACTTTGAACAGGGAGGTTAGTGCCTGCTATTTCAGAATAGACATTTTAATGTTATTTTTCCTCAACTATATGCATTCTCACCAGAAGGATGGTTCCAGTTCTTTCATCATGCCCTTCTGTTCCAGATGTTTTTCTAACATTTCATTTGAAAACTCATCTGAAAACTAACTTTCCATAGAAATAATAAACGGCAACTCTAGCCTCTAACTTCAGTCCTGGACGCTGAATTCCCATCAAGACATTTCTGCTAAGGCTTTTAAGATTCAGCTCAAGATATTGTGAACTTTAAGCTCCCTCTTCAGGTCACAACAACTTGTTCCAGAACAGGAAAGCACCTTTAGCATGAACACAAAGTCACCCTCTACATAACACAGTGTGATTCTCAGTAGGAAAGAAATGAAAAAGCCTCTAGGTGACTCACTGTTGAACTTTAAGATTATATTGAAATCAGTACCCTAGTCAAATGTCACTGTATCTCAGTTTGTCCTTTGGTATTCCCCAACATCTCCTCTGTGTGTTTCCTCCTCTCCTGATTGCTTGGTGAATCAATTTTTAAAGTGCTGAATATGTACAATGATGGCCTACTTCTCGAAATGTCAAGCTAAGGTGTCTATTCATGTCTTTAAGAGAAACTTGTGAGTGGGCAGCAACAGGTTGTGAAGCAGACTGCCTTATTTTTATCTCACCAGTCCAGTTTGCTGTACTTTAAACACACAAAAAGCAGCACAGGAGCAAAGCAAAGTAAAGAATGAAAGATAGCTAGGAACAAAGAAAAATGAAATGAAAGAACCAAAACAAAGGTGTTCTGGTAAAGATAGGTCTGATGAACCATGTAAAAAGCAGCTGACAAAGACAAGCATTTTAAAAGCTGACAGAAAAGAAGTTACAAGGCATTTTCTGGACATAATAATACCAACATATCATTTGATGAAAGGGCAAAAGGATCTGGGGAGAACTGAAGGTTTTTATGGAAGAGCATTGTGATGTTCCAAGGTCAACCTGCAATCAAGAAACTGGAATCATACCATTTTTCACTGTTTCATCTAGGTATTAATGCAGACAAATGCTGACTCATAATACACACCTTCTTTACGATAGATCCATGGACAATGCTCCACTAACTGTACCAAAAGACATGGAAAGTTGTGGGTATTTAGCATTCTTGTCACAGCATTCACTGGCAAACTTTAAAAAACAGAGAAAAGAAATATACTGAAGATGCCAGTTTTTTGTAATACAGAAGATATTTCCTTCCACAGACTTCACAGTGCTTCAATTAATATGCAGATCAAAGTGACAAAATCAGGACCACGGATGTAGTCACACTAGGAAGCTTACAACCAGAGTCAGTAATAATGGAGAATTCACACAAGTAAGTATCACAGTCCAAATTCATACTGCCATGATCTGTGTACTAGGAGCAGAATGCTTCAATACTGTGCTGCATATTTCAAATCGTTAATGCCACTATCCAATGAAGATAAGAAAAGATAATCCAGACAAAGAGGGTTGTCAAGATGTTTTGTGACAGTACTTATACCACTGTTTAGGGAACTATTAGAAGACTGTACCAACACTGAATAATGAAAATCATGGGTCTGAGATCAGGTCTTTACTTGCACGATTGATATTTCAACCTGGTCAAAATGACCTGAATCTTCATCAGATCAAGTATCAGAAAAGAAAAAAAGTTCAAAGTCAGGTTCCACAAATTTCACTGAACATCCAGTGGTCTGTAGGATGCAATCTGAGAACCTCTGAAATAGGGAATTTTGTGCAGAGTGGGAACTCATCTCTTCTCCAATATTCTTACATAACTTGTTCTGTAAAAACTTAACCTACCTCTCTATCAGACCAGTAATGAAACGGAACACAGATAAAGCTTTCAGTGCAATTTCAAACTCCATCTCTGCAGCTTGCTTCTTTAACTCCTGAAATCAGCAAAAGTCATAGTATTATTCCCTTGGCAAAAAAAATGTTATGATGCAAAAATAAATAGTAAGAGATGCAAAATAAATAAGAAAAACAAAGAGAAAAGGAGTAAATGTGCATGTGTGTGTGGGGTGGTGGTGGTTCAACTTTATAACTTGTCCCAGTTTACTCTATCTTCTGCCTCTCACTTTTTAACAGCCTTGAAGGCAGGGGTCACAGGATCCAACCATGACAGTCTGCCTTGGAGTAAGATGACCCTGGCTAACTTTTGGTTGAAGGCCTTCAGTTAAACATCAGAAATTGACATCTAGCTAAGCAGAAGCACCTTGTGCAGATGTTAAAAAAATGAACACTAGAAAGTCAATTAGGCAGTGGCACATCATAAAATTGCCTGGAATAGCTTAGAATTATCAGAGGAAATGGGGGAGAGATAGGTCTGGAAAACAAGGAACCAGGAAGGCTAGCAAATTTGTCATAGGGTGTTGGAGTTTCAGCAAGTCTAACAGCCATTGACTCACCAAGACATAACAGAATTCAGAAGGTATCAACAGAGTTGCTATCTTCCTTCCCCTTCCCACATAACCATAGTAATGATTAAAAAGACACTGATAAATGTGGAAGCAGAGGTAAGGCTATAGGGGGAATGGTCTTGAAGGATACCAAAAACCAGTGAGGGAGATTAAACCATTTTATTCTAATTGGTGGCTTCTGGGGTAGGGGCAAAAGCCCAGCAATATTAAAAGCACTGTAGGACATTTAGGAGTCTGTTCCTGACTCTGATGTCAAAGGCTCACATCATGGTCAACTAAACATCCACTGGCAGATATTGCAGTTTGCTGCATAAAAAGAAATTTTTAAGATTGACTCTTATTGCCTTCTATATTACTGTGAATGAGTCCTCTCTCATTTGGCTTCTGTAAAGCATACCTCCCTTCAACTGTTGTGGGTGTGTACACTTTCAGCCGAAATAGCAGATCTTAAATCCTGACTCCATCTTTATTCTCATTGGGCGGAATGGTAAGGAGCTGACTCGGCACGACTTTAAAACATAAAAATCAAAACCGTTCCAGCCAGATCTGGGGACCAAATTTATTTCCCTTACAGGCTGTCTTTGAAGATGTTCTAGAACTTCAGCTAAAGCGATTTATGCTTTTCACCCACCTTCACTGACGACGGATTTGCAAGATCCTCAGGCTGCAGCTTCTGTTCCACTGGTATCTTCCCACTGGCAGTTTGTGCTACCAATAGGGTCAGCTTCCTGTGCGTGTAATCTATCAGGTCCAAAATGGTATCCTCTGCTGATTCACAGATTTCCTGTTTAATAACCAAAGTGAGGTGGGGGCGGGGAGGAAAGAAGGAACAAGAGATGAAAACATCTCCCTCCCACTCTGCCTACCAAGGCTTTGGATAGATGGAAAGCTCCCATCTCAAAGCCTTCTAGCTATGCAGTGGCACTCCTACCAGATTGAATTTAGCATACTTGTGTATGTTACTATGAATGTGTTAAGTTTTCCAAAAGGTATCTGTCCCTGAGATAGCTGTCTAGAACAGTGGTTTTCAACCTTTCCACAGCTGGGAACCAGCAAAAACAGAAAAACCAATTTAGGGACCACTAAGCAGAAACAAAAAGCACCATACACACAATACAGTATTCTGTGTATTAGTTTCCAAACACAATACAAAAAACATTCTCCAAAACAACTAGAAGAGCAACAAAAAATGCCAAAAAAAAAAAAGAACAAAATACTGAAATCAGTGCAGCGTGGCTCCCACTGAACTGTCTCTCCTCTCCTTGGCTCCCCTGGTGGCACCACTGCACCCTCTCCCCACGAACGCAATGCCAACCAAGAAAGAGGTGGTGGAGCACAGCCGTCCCCTGTGATGGCCTGATGTGGCCCCCTATGTACTGGCAGGAAATCTGCAGACCAGCACCGGTCCACAGACTGGTGGTGGAAAACCACTGGTCTAGAAGGTAATCATAATTCCCTGTACCTGGGTCAAATGAGTTTTATTTTGTCCAGGATACCTTCCTGCTTCACCAAGCCAGCAAAAACCTGCATGTCCAAAGGTTAGGCTAATGATCTTTCCGGTTTTATTTAGTAAGATTAGGACAAATGCAGCAAATCACCAAATTAAAATGATGAAGCCAGTTTGGCAGCACTAATTTCCTGGAAGAGATTCAAAGGGATATTTCATGAAGAGACAGGGGGAAAGCCGGAGACTTGACAAGGGATAAATCAAAAGGTTTGGGGGTGAATATTTTTCTTTTTTTTCTTTCATTATCATTTTTCTGTGATCATCAGGGTCATCACGTATGCTGACCCTCAACAGGGAGACACCTCTGCCTTTCAGAAATAGAAGTATTGTTGTTTGGATAAGGCTTTACTTTTTTTGCCATGACATGCCTAAATAAACTCAGGAGTGAGCTTCTGCCTCCAAAAGCCTCATTCTTTAATTGAAGAATTAAAGCCTCATTGCAGCTGAATGGAGTCAACCTATGTGCAATTCTAGTGCCACATGAACTCTGGTTGTATGGCACTAGAATGCTCCCGAGTTTGCTAGAGAGCCTATCTAAACAAACAGCATCATGAAGATCAAGGAACTATCAAAAGAATTCTGGGATAAAGTTGTCCATGGGGACCAAGTAGGGTTGGGTTGTAAAAAATATCCCAAACTATTAACATCCCCATTAGATTCATTATTATAAATTGGAAAGAATAGGATTAAGATTAGATTAGGATATGGTTTGATGACAACTGCCTAGATATGGCCTTCCACTAACACTCACTGGCCAGCTATGGAACAGAGTCAGAGAAGCAACCAAGAGACCAGTGGTAATCCTGAAGAAGCTGGAAAGATCCACAGCTACGCTGGAGGAAACTATCCATGGGACAATGATCACTCTGCCCCTGCCCCCATCATATTCCTTTCTGCAATTAGAATCATAGAATAGTAGAGTTGGAAGGGGCCATAAAGGCCATTGGGTCCAACCCATGCTGTTGCAGGACACCAACTTACACCATCCCAGTCAGATGGCTGTCCAGTTTCTTTTTGAATATTTCTAGTGTAGGAGAGCCCACAACCTCTCTAGGCAACTGGTTCCACTGTCATATTGCTCTGACAGTGAATAAACTTTTCCTGATATCTAGCCTGAACCAGAGTTGTCACAACTTGACGTGATTATTCCGTGTCCTACACTCTGGTATCACCTTAAATCTATTTCAGTTTGAGGTTTTAACAAAACAAAATGTGGAAAAGTCGGGAGGGGAGAATACTTTTGCAAAGGACTGTACACTGTTGATGGAAAAGTAATGATTAATATCCATTTCTGACAACATCAAAGCTGGTTATAACTAAATTTGCCCTTGCTAAAAGAAAACAGGTTTCTGAAATGGGAGGAAGTAGAAATGCAATGATACAGGGCATTCCTTACATTAACAAAGTCAGGGATTAATTTTAGGCGATGAACTAGGTAAAAAGAATAACTTGAGGCCAAATTGTGAATATGCAGTATGGAGATTTGCAGCCTGAATTAATTAGTGACAGAGATGGAACCCAAGGAAGATTTGCCACCATTTGAAAAGAGGCTTTAAACCAAAGGATCCATTCCCTCCAACCACTGGGCTATCTATATATTTATGCATTTACACACACTCTTTTCCATCCAAGGAACTCAAGACAGTTTATGTCATTCTAACCCTCCCAATCTTGTCCTCACAACAACCACCCTGTGAGGTAGTTTGAACTGAAAGTCTGTTACTGGCCCAAAGCTCCCCATTGGCTCCATGAAGGAGTGGGTACTAAACTCCAGATTGCCTGAGTTCCAGTCCTAAAATCTTAACCTCTATACCGCACTGACTTCTTCCTGAAAGAAGTCCTGACTTCTTCCTGCTTTCAGTTGCCAGGATCTTCTAAATGTCATGAAACGTGATGCCAACCAATGAAGCATACTCCCAAGAAAAATGTGCAGATGTGTTGTAGGTGTGAATTAAAACCACAACTGCTGTGCAGCTTTGCCCACACCAAAAAATGGAAAAAAACCAAATAAATAAATACAAAGGATGCTCTTACAGCAGCAATCAAAATGATCATTTGAGGTTTTTTGGTCAAGACCTTTGATATACAGTCTAAATTTATTGCCTACCTTGTGATAGAATACTGTCTCCAGGAGGTTAATAACTGAAGCTTCATGACGCAGCTGAGACAAAGAGAATATAACAAAGCATAACACAGTATCCTAACACAAGAGAATATACTAAATGAAATTGCATTTCATTTTGTGCCACATCATTGGGAATGTATATGGATGCACATAACTGAAAATGCAAAGTTTGGACAACATATAAACCATCTTAATTGGTCCTAATGAGCCACAGTGTGCCTACCATTCCTCTGACACAGCCACAATGAGGAGTGCAAAAGTGTTTGCTTCACTTTTACTTAACTGCAGCTTCTTGTATTGCACAAACCAACAAACTGTGATTAATGTTAACTATACTTTGTTTGTACTACATACAGGCAGTCTCCTGGTTATGAACTCCTGAGTTACAAACAACCCATACTCACTAATGAATTGCCATAAAACCTATTATTTTTTTCCAAAAAAATCCTGCAGAAATTCACCATCACCATAGAGAAAGCTGAAGGGGAGAGAAGGGAGGCCTCCAAAGCATCAACACAGAAAGAGTGGAAGCGAAAGGTGAAAGGAAGGCCTCTGAAGCAGGCCTTCCTGTCCCACCCATCTGGAGAGAGAAAGCTCTAGGATATTTCCTTGCTGCAAAGAGAAGGCTCTGGTAAATTTGGGCATGGTGGGGGCTAGAGATATTTGTGGTTTTTCCACTTTTTGAAGGGTCATGTACCCCTAACTCCTGTGAATGTGAAGAGCCAAGTATGCACGATCTGACTTACATACAAATTAGACTTAAACTGAATACCGTTTTCTCAGGAAGAGATCTTGTTCGTAACCAGGGGATCTTGTATTCAACTCCAAATAGTAAGCCCATTTTCTATATTTAGAGCAAGATGCTGTCTTTGTTTTCCTCCCAAATGAATTGCTGCTGTCTGGAAAGGGATAATTTTCTCAGACAATTTAGAAGCTTTAACAAAATAATGAGTTCTTACAGACTGGGTGCATACAACACCCATTGTGGATTTCCTTGACAGGGGGCAAACCTGGACTAATTCCTGCAGGATGGCTTCATTGAGGGCAATACGTCACACTGAAAAGCCATGGCCTGCTGTACAATTTTAATACACATGGCACATTGTCATATTGTCTAAACCTATGCAACCAACCCCAGAGTGGATACTGGCAATTTGTGGATACTGGAAATCTGTGAGTAGGCCACTTGGCAAATGAAGAAGAAACCCTTTGCCAGGCTTGCCCAGGCACTTGGGAACAGCTGGCACAAGCTTGCTCCCCTGCGTATTGTGATCATGAACCATTTCTGGGTCACTGTGGCTTTTTTTTTGTCTTTTACACCCTACACATTTCTTTTTTTTTCAAAAGATTGCAGATACTACCTTTGCAGTCAGCTTTGGTAATCCCCCTTTTTAATAACCACTGCAGCCACATCAAGGTGCTCAAGCAGCAATCTGGGACAGGTGTTTTCTTCTTTAAAAAAAAAATCAAACCCTCTAATATATGCAAATATTTGTGCATATTATTTAAAAATATTTTACCCCCCCCTTCACATGTGCACAACCTCCCTGGAAGTTACTGGCTGTGAAATTCCAGCAGGTGCCAGTTCTGGACCTTGACTCCAAAAGGGTCCAAATAACCTTTCCTTTGGTTTGACAGCAGTCAGAAGGTAAGTTGTCAAGGAAACCAACAGTCTGAGTGATTTATGCTCCTGAAAACAGGATGGTAGGATTTATGCCCCCTTTGCAGAAAGATCCTCTTATTGTATTTATTTACATGGGAGGGTATTTGCCTCTCCTAAGAGTGCTCTTATTTTTTCACTTGTGCCCGAGCACCTAGAGTCTCAAGAAAATGGAAAGTTGTGAGTGATTTCTTTTAAGATAGTTTTTGGCAGGGTTCTTCGTGTTTTTTTGTGTGGGATTTATGCATTCATGCTGTCAGGAACTCTCAAGCCAAACCTAGAGGAGAAAAGGGTAAAGGGCAAGAATGCTGTAATGAGCCAAAAACAGCTTACAATCATGAGCATGGGGGGAAGGGGAGAAACATTCTTGTTATGGTGTCCTCTGGGACACCCATGGAAAGACTGAGAGTGGGTGAAAGAATCATAGTAAACCCGATTGTCTGCTGAGTGCACCATGGGCTGCTTGCAGAATTAACAATCCACTGTAGCTTATGGCCAGGGAGGAAAGTTATGACATTCAACCTCATCCATTGAAAATTATTTGAAAACACCTGCAGCAATTCTACATCAATTGTCTTAATAGTGATCATTCTGTGATGCACCAGCTCAGGCTAGCTATCTGATGCAGAAGCCACATTTGGTGATATCTTTTTACAAAGTGTTCCATAGTGTCAGGAGCTGGGTTTCCTCCTCCTCTCTCTCTAACAACAGACAGTTCTTTGGCAAAATAACTTTTTTTCCCAATGTACATCCAGCAAGCTATTAGCCAATAAGGGAAGAGTCTCTGAGCATGCACAGTGTGGTTTGTGGAACCCAAATTAGAGACTATTTCTGAGAACCCTCCTTTGCAGTAACCCTGGCCCCCACCCCTTCCTGTGGAGATGGGCAAGCTTCCTTGATCTATATAGGTCCTCTAGCCCTTCTCCCCTGATGTTGCATCACGGGGTCAGGATCCTCTTTTCTGGCTCCTCTCCCATGTCTCCTTCCGGCACTTCCAAACCCTGTTGTTTCCACAGTCTGTTTGAAACTTGGCGATGGCAATCTTGAGATAAGTTCTTTTGCTTCTGCCAGATCTATGTCTGTAGACCTCATTTCTCGGGCCTCACCATCCTTATCTGAAGAGTCAGTGCCACCCTGGCCCTGGAGAGCATGCAAAGAGTAACTGCCTCTTTCATTCTCATTACACAGTATAAATATATTGCAGCATTATGCAGAGTTCCATTTAAACCCATCATGTACTTACAACTAAGTATATGGGAAAGGTGCTTTTTGGTTTGAAGTCCTCCAGCCTGCATACTATGGGGAAGATCTTCTGCTTCCAGATCTCCACAGTTATTAACTCTTCAATGAGAACTGGGATCTACACAGGAAAAAGGACATTAGCAAGTTCTTTCCAGCTTAAAAGTCTGTGCAAGTATCGTGCAAGCAGCATCCCTCTTCTGTTCACATGACTTTTGGCCTTTATTTGTGCTGCATGTGCTGCAGAAGGGTTGCCAGTTGCACAATCATTTCCATTAGCATGTGTAGACTTCCTTTCAGCTCACTTCCTAAGCTAAGGCTGAGCATGAAAACAATGCAATTAACAGGAGAGCCAGATCCCAAGAGGATCCTTGCAACTATACTATAGATATTTTTGAACTGCAACCCACATCATCCCTTGTCATTGCTTGCTAGGGCCGATGGAATTTGCAGTCCAGCAACATTTGGAGGGCCATATATTCCCAGTCCTTGCCCCGACCACTCTCATGTAGTCACACTCAGTATTTATGAAGTGCTGAAGATCATCATTATTTCTGTCTCAACAACTAATACTTACAGGTAGAGTGGAAATCCTAACCATCCATCAAGAGCAGGCATTTCCTCACCTTTTCCCCTTCCAGCAGACTTAGATGAAACCTTAGAAGCACAGCGCTTTATTTGGACTTTGCAGGTTACAAACAGCATAAATTAATTATCTCTTTGAGATGTTGGAGTAGCATCTGCCCATGTGAAGAGTTGAATTCAAACTGAAAAATCCCCTCCTCCTCCTCTCCCTTTCAGAAAGATCCTGACTCCACCCTCAGGATGGCTCCCACTGTTTGAGGACTAGACAACAGAAACATCATACACTGCTTAACTGGTCTGTTTACTTTGCCTGTCATTTCTTTTCAGGGTCAAGGAACTCCCCCTCATCCTGTTCTGAAATGTCCTCCTCCTTTTCCAAAGTGGCCTGCTGCTCACACTCTGCCTGGGTATTTTCACTTTGTAACCTTGAAACTGCAAAGTTATCTGTCCACCTCTCCCCTTCTGACTCCTCTGAGTTTGAAGAATCTGTCTGAGGAGACTGGAGTTGGGATTGCTGCCCCCTCTCTTTGTGACTGTGATATAGGAAGACTAATGGCTAATCTATCTGGAGTACCAGTGTAAGCTTGTGCATTTCTGAATGTAAACATACCAAACACATAAACAGTAAAGGAAAGAAGCTCTCTTGAGCAACCATACTGAAATGCTAAATAAAACACAGATCATTTTTAGTGGGGAAAATGTATCCTCTGTCTTGGGCTGATGATTCCCTTGTAATTCCAGAGATAAATGCACCATACCTTGGCATTGTTCACCAGAACGTCAATAAGGAGCTGCTCTTGCCCAGCAGAAGCACTCAATATGGCCTGCATGTTTAGCTTCTCGATGTACTCATGTTGCCGTAGCCACCTAGAGTGAGAGCAGTTGGCACTCAGATTCTATCCCTGACCAGCATCCCATCTCCTTTCTTTTCTAGACATTTTTATTTGTGATATTTGTATCCTATTTAAATACAGTAAAATCCCTAAGTGATGCTTGACACCCATAGATTCACATTGCCTAAGACAATTTCAAGTTGGCAGCATGCTCTTCAAGCAGACACTCTTTTTCTATTATGCAGGACTGTATCAATTGCATGTACCTGATTTTGGGGATATCCCTAATTTAATACAGGATAACTACCCGTTGTTAAATGATTGCTTGCTGATAGTCTGGGAAATTTCCTGAATGGGTATTAATGATTAAAGATTCCACTCCACTCTTTTGGCGAAAAGAGAGAGTGGGAGGGGCAGACAATGTTGCTTCAGTTTTTAATTGGGAGACAAAGTCAAATGCAGCTGTAAGTTTAGTTGATTTGGAAGCAACTAGGAGGGGGGAATCTAGGGGTCCAGGCAGCTACTCTCCTTAAAATCTCATACAGGACCTGTAGCTTTATTGCCTGCTATAGGAATCTATTGATTCCAATATGCTTGCATATTTGTAAACAAATACTGCATCATTTCCTTATGTCTTTAGTATGCCTTCATCTGAAGGAAACTGGATTCTGCTGGGGAGAGGAGAAGCAGTTAACACTATTCTTAAAGCTGTATTTTGTTTATTTTATATCTCCTTCCTCCTAGATTTCAGTATATCCATCTTTTACCATAGCTTTGCCTTTACCTATAGGGCACTTCACATATAAAACTCAAAAATACGATCCTCCAGACTGCCTGCAAGATGGAATTATGGGATAAAATGTAATATATGCTTTATTACTACTCAAACAATTTTGTTGCAAAATCTGTGATTATGACAACTCTCAGATGTCCTGAGCTGATACAACAGCATCAGAATGTATTGGATTATTCAACTACATTTCTTTGGGTAATCTGGAGCGAAAAATGGGTGAAGCTGTTCAGTGATTACCAGAAGCCACCACATGCCTGACAAACTCTCATTACAATTACTTATCCATCAAGCTGCAAAATCTTCTAATGTATGCATGATTATATTAGGACCATTTATTTCAGAATATTCTAGGGATGGCTAGGTGTAAAAAAGACACCTCAAACTCCACGAAGACCAGTACAAGAGATTCTATGCTTACATATGTCCCATTCCTCCAAGCTGATACCCACAAAAAATCGTATCTATGAGGTATTCCTTAACTGCATTATGAGCAGAAAATGTGATATCCTTATGCCATCCAAATGCTACTTCTGCAATGATGATGATTATGACAATGATAATAATTATTAGAATTATAATAATTTGCTTTTATATCCTACATATTCCCTCTTGTGAGAAACCCAAGGTGGCTTTAACAGCTTAATTTTATCCCCACAACAACAATCTTGTGAGGTAGGTTAAGCTAAGAGTGAGAGACTGGCTTAAAGTCACTCAGTGACCTTCATGGCCAAATGGGGACTAGAACCAAGATCTCCCGTGTCCCCATTCCAACCACACCACACTGTCTCTGTACTAATTCTATTAATACATTTTTAATAATTCATGTACAACACTTAAAAGCTTAGAAACTTAAACTGAAAGCCCATCTAACCCTTCTCCTTTTGTGAGCTTATTAAAAGACAGCCAAGGAAGGATATGCTTGCACTTTCATTTTTATTCCACTCCAGTATTCCCCTCTTGATCACCAACTAATCATTGCAACTTGTTCCTGGGACAGCAAGCATCAGATCATCCTGGTTTTACATTCCAGGAGGGGAGAGGCAAGGACTCTTCTCAGTCCCTCAGAATACAAACTTGCAATATCCTTGAAGGTTTTAACTGGCCCTTAACACCCTTTAACAGACAACAGTGGGCAATTCAAGGCTTTACATATATTTTGTTCTACATCTCCCATCAGTCCAAACCAGTGCAACTAATGGTGAGGGATTTAAGTGCCAATTCATATTTACAACCACAGCAGGGAAAGACAGATACAAGAGTGGATTTGCCCCACATTTGCACAATGCTTTTGGGTGAAGCGACAGTTCTCAGTGTCACCAGGCAGGCTCCAGTGCTTTTATCCTCTCTGTCCTAGCATGGAGAGACATCTATTTCTACATTTCCAGCAGGAATGGGGAACATGCTGGCCCTCCAGTTGTTGTTGGGCTGCAACTCCCATCATCCCCCATCGTTAGCTACATTGCCCAGTGCTGATGGAGTTGATCAACATTTGGAGGGACACAAGTTCCCCACCTCTGGTTTTAAAAAGTAAAGCTAACACCTGTATGTCAGGCTGCCTTCCAGCTTGCTTGTTCAATTTCTGAAGGCACAGGAGCCCTGCCCAAGAGAGAAAAGAAGTGGCAACCTCAAAGACCAGCCGGCTGGCTCTCCAGGAGTAACAGGCCAACCCCAGGTGAAGCCCCTCTCCTGTCTACTCAGCCGCCTTGGTAGCGCCCCTTTCCCGCCCCAGCGGGGGACGGTTTCCTCTCTCCCCGGCCTCCTCATACCCGTGACCTCCAACATCTCTCAGCTTGAAAATCGTCAACGATTCTGCCAGTGCTTCGGCTTCGCCGGGCAGCAAAACGGTGGGCAGCAGCTCCTCCATGGCAGCTTGGCGGGCCCCAGGCCCGACGCGGTCACCATGGAGACCGGCGCTTGATGCTGCAGCGCCCGCGCCCTCTAGCGGCACGAGCCTGCCGGCTCACGCCCCGGCAATGAAAGAAGGGCGAGCCCTGAAATGGTCCCTCGTCTACTGGGGGTGGGACGCTCAGCCATTAGGAGAGCGCAGCGTGTTGTAGGATTAGCCTAGAAAGGGGAAGACCCGAGTTCAAATACAGGGCCGTCTTAACAGCATTATGGGCCCCGAACAAAGCAGTGTACTGGGGCCCCTACGACAACTACAACTACTGTTAATTTTGGAAGTTTTCTAATTTCCCAAGGGTTAACATACACAGATTAGTATGGGGCCCACGGGCAAGTGCCCATCAGGCCCATGTGTTAAGATGGCCCTATTCAAATGCACCCATGGCTATGTCGTTTGCTCCGTGTCTTTGGAGCCAGCTGCAAATTATTTAGTGTGCCCTACCTTGTAGTGAAGGAAACTGGGGAGCACTGCTTGTATGAAGATCAAAATATAGCATCAACAAATGCAGATGTTACCTGTGGTTAGGTCAAAGAAAGGTGACCAGTTTAAGCCAAATAGGCCTCTCTACACTGTCCAGGCTCTGACTCTACAATATATTTACTACAACAACCTGAGTCACCTTGCCCAAGTGTGGAGTATAGGTAGTATCACTAAGACTGGAAAAAAGCCCAGTTTCAGGTCCAAATCCAGAGAAATATGTGGAAATTAAAAATGGCATATATCCGAGCATGCACAAAATGCATCTTTCATTAATCAGTAACTATAACTAGCTCAGATGAGGTAGACCAGGGATGGATTTACTTATATTCTACCTTTTCTCCTTTCAAGGAACTCAAGACAGCTTACAGAAGTCTCACCCTCCCAATCTTGTCCTCACATCAACTACCCTGTGAGGTAGTTGTTGGACCGAGAGTTTGTGACTGGCCCAAAGTCACCCAGTGAGGTCCATGGCTGAGTGAGGACTAAAACCCAAATCTCCTGTGTCCCACTACTGCACTCTTTACCATGACACCACACTGGATAACTTCCACAGCTAGAGGAGAACCACCCTCCCGTACTCACCAGGGACCACAGCCTCACCAGGTTTGCTGTTGGTGTCAACATGACAATTGTGCAAAGAAACAGGCAACATTCACATTGCTATGCTTCCAGGGGGCTTCTTGGAGTGCCGATCTGCTTTCAAACAAGGTGCATATTAGCAGCAGTGGGCTGTGTGTCACTAATGTGCAGTGTTTTGTTAAAAAAAAAAAAAGGTTCCGAAACTCATGTCCTGGGGTCACACTTTTACACTAAAAAAGATTTTCAATTCACCAACTTTTTTTGAAATAACTTATTTACCTTTTGCATGTAGCCAGTCACTCTACACACACACATTAACATAATGGTCACCGCTGGCAGTAAGCACTCAGCGCGCGGCCACAAACACCAATCCCAAGCCGAGCAGCACGGACACACAAGCAGCCCGCAGGCACTATTTTAAGGATTTTTGCCGCTGACCTGCTATGCCTGACAGGCAATTCAAAATCACTTCGTAAAATCCATTGGAAAAATCTGTCAAAAAAAGGTGCTGGAATGCCGTTCCAGTGCATTCTATGACAAAAAAAGCCTTGCTAATGTGTAAAGGATTTCCATAACAGAGGATACTGGTATAACCTCACTTTATATTTCACCTCGCAATGCTTCATACAAGCTTGTATACCTTTAATTCTTCCTCATTACCAAGTGCTCCAAATAAAAACTGGGGACAACACAATTATAACAAATATGCTTCCAGCTTTATTTGCACAATTTTGTCACAACACTCTTTCATTTAATACTTCAAAGAATCATGTGCTTGCTATTTATTTCTAACAATACAAGTTTCTTTGCCTTCCCCAACCTGAAGACTTCCAGATATGTTGGGCTGTAATTCCCACCATTCCTGTCCATTGGCCATCCTGTCTGAGGCTGAAGTCAAAAACTTCTGGGAAGTACCCTGTTGAGGAAGGCTGTGTAAGATATTTGACCAGAGTTTTTGTAACCTTTTTGCTAGAAAAATATAGAGAGAAAAATATAAATTGTGAGCACTGGGAGGGAATGCAAAACAAGATGGGCCATCCTGGTTATTTGTGTTAAAAGATTGTTTTTTTCAGATGGTCACTGTTTGTTTGCTAAGACAGGACAGCAACAAATCAGTTAGCCTTCCCTAATTCTTCAAGACAAACTACAAAGGAATTTTTGCTGCGGAGTTGCACATTAAGAATGAGAATTTAACACATTCCTCACCAGCTTCTTTTGTTCCAGATTCTCCTGAGTTGCTTTTCCTCTCATGGAGGCTTCAGGTGCAAATATCCACCTGGACACCCCCACCGCCAGGGAAGGAGTTACAGGGGTTTTAAAGAAAACAAACATCAGCAGAGAATAGGTTAAACACCAATTTACTACAGTGCTCTAAATCATAGCATTTTGAAACTTTGCTTTATTTAAAGCAAAAGCATGGATGCTTCTCCGTAGACATTTGTATGTTTTGCTTCTCACAGAAAATGAGATCCATGGCTTATCTTCACTGAAGCAATCTAAAAATGCCTGAGTGTCCATCTGACTCACTCTTACCGGGTGCTACTAGTGATCTGAAAACCATCCATAATGCCATATCATCTGTACCATGTGCTTTTAATAATCACTGAGGAAGTTCTGAAGCAGGCTTTAAGTCCCCAGTAGCCCATGAACAATGAATGGAACATGATAAATAAGCAGCCTGTTTCCTCACAGGATTCATTTCCAGCAGACAATTATATTGGGATCGTTCTCCAACCTTTCATCCAACTCCCGATAGCTCATTCCTAAGGAAGGAGGACAAAATATTGGTAAAACAATATTTAGCATTGATGTGATGCCATCTGAAGCCTTCAGGTGACATAAGGAGAGAGAAATGCTAAGTTCACAGAACCCCAAATAAGTGAAACATCCAGCTCAAGGGAAGAGTGCTCTGCCATTCTGTCTTTTTTCATTCAAGTGGGAATGAAAGTGGTTATCTTACTTCTGCATTGAAAACATCAATTTATTTTCATGGAAACTGGAAGAAGCTATAACCATACTGCAGCAGCTATCAACATGGTGGGACATGGTTGGCATATCTTCAGCAGAGCCAGCTGGAGTTGGGGTCAGACTAGAAGGCCTGGGAGGTCCCTTCTCACTCGTTCTGTTTCTAATTCACTATGGGAGGAAAAGGGACTACTCTCTAGACTGTGAAGGTTTCCTATCTATCCTGGGTACTTCTTACCCCTTAATCTGCCCTGGAGGGGGAAAAACAAGTGATTGAAGACAAATGCTTTTCCTTGTTTAAGCACTAAAAAAAGTCTCTGTGTGTCACTGTCTTTCTCAGTCAATACTTAGTAAAAGAAAACACTTCCCTCTACTCAACTGCTGATTCCTTGCAGGGGTGGGTGTAGTGAAGGGAGGAAACCACTGAGCATTTTAGTCTTGCTTCTTTCCAAGCCTTGTCCCATTTCTTGTAAGTGGACACAATGATCATATTTATTGCTGAGTAAAAATGCTGTTTGAAAGTGCTGCTGAGTATTTCTGCCCTGCTTCCTTCTCAGCTTTGTCCTGCTTTCTTCTAAGTAATCAGTTCAAAGCCTGCCTATTTTGCTTTGGGGTAGATTAAGATGCTCAAGCTTACTTTTGAGAGACATGCTTTCTACAAATTAGTAAAGGGGCTGGATATTTTTAGCCCAGTTTGGCCTGTGGTCCTGGGTCCAGTTAAAATATATCAACCTGAGAGTTTCTCTGAAATGGAATACAACCCTTGAATTAAAAAAGTTTCCTCAATCCTAAGCTATGGAGTTCTTTCAGATTTTTGAGGGTCCTTTGCAAGAAATGCTTTTAAACTCCATCCATTTAGACCTCTTACTAAGACACTTCTTTAAGAAAAAGTTATTTTTCCTTTGTTCACACAAACTGTCATTGTAGGACCACACTACTTTTTGGAATTCTTTCAGACAAACTCCCTAAAACTCAGGGATTCTGTCAAAAGTTATTTCAGTGGGCATGCTACTGGCAGATGTTCTGCCTAAGTTTTTAGAAGTCCTGGCTGAGACTCTGTTCTTGTACCTCCGAAACCCTGAACTCAATAATGATGATGCAGGGATCTTGTTATCATAGAAGTAGACTTTGAAATCTTGACTTTGGGTACCTTTCATCTGTACATCCTTCACTGCAATTCCCTTTACTGCCCACTATTAATTGTGAAGTGGCTGAAGCATTGCCTATTGTATAATACAAAAACTGAGTAAGTGAATAATAAAATAAATCCTTATCTTAGACAAAGACAATCTCTTCTTCTGATCTTATTTTTTTTTTGGTTTGCTATGACACTAAAAATTCTTGCATCCCATCCCAGCATGTTGAACATGCATATAATATGCATACACAGAGAGACAGAGAAAGAATGCACACCAGGTTCCCAGTGTGCCTGGCAGCTCCCCTTTTGTTCCCAAATCTGAGCAGCCACCATCCGTGGAAAGCTTACCATACCGTGTTTTTAGACCACTTGCAAATATGCACATCTCAGCAGGCTTTTAGAGTGCAATTTTCACATCACAGGGAAATTTATTTACATGTCTATAGCCCAGTTTTAAAGTAAGGTTTTACAAAATGTCTTTACAATGACTTGACTGATGCAATTATATTTTAATACAATGCAATGATTGCATGAAAGCTAAATTTAACTACAACTAATTGAAGTATTTTTCCAGTTAAGCCCTTTTTACTGCGGGCTATTTTACTGTTAGATTGCATTGTCTTTTAAAATGTTGATTACCTCATCAGCTGTTTTATTGACTATATGAGACTTTGTATGTTTTTATGTGTAAATTGACTGATGTAAAAAGATGTCTGCTCTACCTTACCAGTTTTACAGCAGATCTCATCATAGCTATGGCAGCCTGTATACAGGCGTGCCGGATGGCTTCTTTCATCCCGGGCTACTTTTACTGGATACTTCTGGAGCCGTCGAATAAGGCCCTTCATCAGACCAAACTGGATTAGTTTCCTGAAGATGAACAGAACATAAAATAAACAAATGTACATTAACAGAAAGGCTGTGGAGACAAAGATTTCAGGCAAATTCTGTCTTTGCTTCACTCTATGCTACATAGCGCACACGGTATTACTTTCGTATTTCTGCAGCTGGTAAAGACTTTCTTTCTAAACACCAGTATTCACATTGTGGGACGATGATGTGTTGGCATAATGGAAGGCATGCACCACCCTCATTGGGGTGACAAGTCATGGAACCACTGGAGCCTTTTAAAAACTGTGGCTAGAAGAGCCACTACAAAAGATGGTAGGTTGGTCCCCTGGCAACTCAAGTACTGTTGAAAAGCCAAGTGTAGCGGGGGGGGGGGGGGCGGGGGAAGCACCTTCCAACCTTTCATCCACTCTCTGGAGCTGGAGGGTATAGCGGCAAATGAGGTCTCGCACAGTTGTGCCAGGGCTCAGTCCACAGTACAGCTGGAAAACGTCTCTCAGGCTGGCTCGCTTGTGACCTGTAGAAAAATAAAACTAAGGAAATATCCTGAAAGATCTGGCAAATATATTCAGATAGTACATTACAAAATATTAGCAATTACATCTATCAAATGCAAACTAGTATTTGCAGCTGGATAACTTTCATGATCAATGATAACAAGATGTGCAACACAGACAAAAATGCCCCACACAGCTAGAACAATCTAAAAATATCATGCGAAAGTGCTATGCAAATTGCATTCACTAATGTCAGGGGCTAAAAATAATGCATTGAATATTCTGAAGCGCCACTCTGGATACACACTTATGAATGCTGCCAAATAGTTCCTAGAACTGCTACTGTCAGCAGCAGTCCAACCATTAAATAGATCCATCTCAATTGCTTTTTCTTTTTTAATCTGGATGTCAGCCAGCAGCAAATGTATTCAATTTAAATGTGCTACATTATTCATATAAATCTTTCAGTGGACTAGCAGATGTATTCATGCCAAGAGTTTCCTTAAACAAACAAGCTTCTGTTTTATGCTAAATTCTCCAAGCCATATCAGCAACAGGAGAAGCAGCTAAGATGCTGGTCAGGGATAATTACAAGATCATGTCAGATTATTCCATATTAGTAACATCTTTATTAATCTTAGACAGCAACCTTATACATACCTTCCAGGATGTAAGTCCCATTGAACTCAACAGCACTTACTTCTGAGTAGACATGTATCAGCTTGCGCTGTCACCCAGCCTTCCATACCTGGTTTTGTGACGTATGAAAGACATTCGTCTTGGAGACATTTATCATCCACCAAGTCCTGGACTTTAGGTGTCGTGCAATATACATTTGAATACTAAGGAGAAAGTGAGAAGTTTCAGCCAACAAAGGTCAAATTACAGCATTTTAGCTACCACCAAAATTTACAGTGATTGTTGGACAAACAGCAGGACACAGTCCCATATACCCAGTGCAGCTGGTGGGTTGAAGAATGTCAGCATTAAGATGACATGGCAAAATGCACCCAACAGCAGAACAGCATATTACCACTTGCTCTAACAACAGTGCTAGATATTTACAAGGTTTAAACATTTTTACTTCGCTGCCAGAAACCATTTATCTGCTGTGCAATTTTACCAACACCTCCTGCCAAAACCCCCTTCAAGGCAGGAGAATCTCGACACCCCACTTGCATGATTTACAGTCATAATGAGAAAAATTAAGGGCTTGTGATAAGATCTTCCCTGAGTGCCTTCAAACTGCATAGAAGTTTTCATAAAATAATGCGAGTCAACATTTTAACATTAAATAGTTTTGATTGTTTATATAGAGACCTTAAATAATTATGCACATATCTTTTTTAAAGATGTAGAATTTGGATTCTTGAATCATAGAGTTGCTGTCCTGAGGCCTAAAACCTACAATTATGCAGTATTGCATGTTTTAGTAATTAGGATAGACTACTCTTCTTTAGCAATGGACAATAAGTAATGAGATAATGTACGCATGCTTTTTAAGTAAATGAATTTGGTAAATGTGGAAAATTAGAGTTTCCTTCTTTTAAAGATTGTTTGCCCATATATAAATATTTTCTTTTAAATAAGTTCAAGTTTATCCTAGGTTTCTAAGCTTTAAAATATCACTGGCCAAACTACTAAACATGAACTGTACTGCAGCTGTTTAAATTGGAAGCTGTTGAATTGGAAATCAGATAATATCAGTTCTCTCTTTTGAAGTTTTATCTGCAAGACATTACATCAGGGGCTGAGTCTGACGCAGAGAGAGAGGACAAATCCATCAGATCAGTACCCTCTCTTGGGATAGGGCTCCTGTTCACACACATATACCATTTGCCATGTATATACATACCTGGCATGTATACCATTTGATTTCTCATCACTTGTTTATGTGAACTGAATGTGTGATGACTGAAAAGTCATGGTGTGATATTATGTGAAAGTTGTACCTTCACTGTTTTGATCTGGCTACCTCATATATGCAAGTCACCACTTTCTCTGGCAATGATCAAGTGATGATACAGGTGTCTGACAATAATTAAGAGATGATACAGGTGTGTGAACCAGATAGTCCATTGTTTAAAATCTAAATTCCCCAGTCATGTTGAGACAGTACTCACTATACTCACCTGAAGTATGGAAACTAAAGTCACTACTCCATAGTATCTAGAAAACATATTCAAGGCCATTAGAAATTAATCAACACACTAAACTTCATGCATGTTAATAAGAGCAACTAGAATGCAGAAGCTACTGATATACAATGGGTGCAAATAGCATCTGAGATAATTTTGATACAGATCCCATAACATTTTGGCAGCATTTGAAAGATGCATTGCTACTTGGCTGGAACTTGCTACATTTCTTGACATGGAAGCCTTTCCTCCAAATCACAGACAAGAGCAGATTTGTGAATTGCTGGGATGGGGAGGCCACAGGTTTATATATGGCAGTGAAAAGAAAGTGACTTGTATGTGAACAGGAGAGCAAAACTAAAATGTGACACAAAGTGTGCTGGAGTGGTTTTAATTTTTAAGTAATTAGTAGCCTGCCTCTTTGGATTTCATTGGAGCTACAAGGTAAGGAAGTTTAACCCTTTCTCTACCACCCATGGGCATGGGTGACAGGAAAG